TCCTCATCATCGCTGGGGATCTTATGCTTCTTTCCTTTAGAAGAGGAAGTCTCCGGCTCATCTTTATCCTCTTTATGGAACCTATGATCAAGTTCCAAGCGAAACTGCTGCAACTGTGTTTTGATAAGTTCTAAAACAGAGTTCATATCAATACTAGGGGATTCATCCTTGTTACTCATGTTCACAGAAGCACTAGAAACCATATAAGATAAAAATAGGTCCTCACACACACAAACTCACGTGTTTACTCTCAAGATAAAGTCACTCGTGTTCACAAAAAAAAAAGTAATGGCTTTTTTTTTTTTTTAATAATGAAAAACACACTTGCCTTTTACCACTCACTAAGCTTGTGGATAGAATCCAATGGTGAAACCCACAAATCAAGAAACTAAGGAACAATCAAGTGAATATCTTCTAAATTAAGGAAACTAGAAAACAAGCACAAGGTGAAAAGAGGATTTTTTTTTTTTGCAATTTTGAAACAAATAGGAAAGCAAAATTTTCAAATAAAATTAAGCTTGTTAAAGGAAAAACCACACGTGACAACAAAAAATAAGAAAGAAAGAAATAAAAGTCAAAGAGTCAAATACTCAAAGACAAAAATAAAAAAAAAACTAAATAAAATAAGAGAGTAGCACAAATAGCAAATAAGAGAGTAGAGAATTTGAAAAGTGCTACCAAAAATAAAAAATAAGAAAGTGATCAACGTAAAAGACTTTCTTATCACCCAAGTTGACTTTTCTCTTTAAGTAACCTCTTGGTGACTTGGAGTTCAAGAATAGCCTTTTTCTACAGTCATAACTCACAGCAATATATTTTTTTGTAAATTTTTTTTTGAATTTTCGGATTTTTTTTTCTCTTTTTTTTTTCTCAACACACTAACACTTTTTTTTTTGCCTTTTTTTTTGCACGAATTTCTAGGTATTTTTTTTTCTTTTTTTTTTAGAAGGCTAATAAAATGAAAACTCACATAAGATAAAAAGTCACAAAGATGAAGAAGAGAAAAACCAAAAGATAGAAGTAGATGGGGTAGATAAGAGATGATCACAAAAAAAAATAACTCAAGATGAAAAAGAAGAAGGAAGGACAAGAATTTAAACCAAAACTAGCAACCAAAGCTCTGATGCCAATCTGATAGGGACGCGGAAGCAGAATCGTGCTAGTTTAGGGACAGAACCCTGAAACAACAAAAACACAAGAACAAAAAAAGAAAGGGACGAAATTTATGACGGAAATAAAGAAAGGTATGAAGTAAACAATAGGATAATGATCAAGGAGAAGATCCTCTAGAGCACCTGCCTCTAGGAACCTCAACCTTCGAAGACACCACAAGAGTTGATCACGCTCTTGATCACGTCGGTTTCTCACACGGGATACCACCACAAAGCACTAAGGCTCACAAGAGTTATAAACTCTAAAATGAATAATTTCATTCAACTTCTGTGTTGTTTACAATAGGGAGCATGCCTAATTTATATAGGCTTATAGAAAAAATATTTCCTAAAATTAAAACCCTAATTTCCTAATACTAAAAGGAGAAATAATGATAAAATATTTAGCCACATAATTTAGGAGATGTGATCCTAAAATTATGGGATTACAAAATTTAGAAATTAATATTATAATTAATTCTAACCTTTGACTAGACTCAAAATAGAAAATCAAATCAAAGGACCATTAAAATAGGAAATAATTTAGGAGACAATCAAGGGATCATAAAGGATTTGAAATCACGCCACTCTTGACTTCTTTACTAGGGTTTCATGTCTCCTTGCATGCAAGAGGCTCAACTTGTAGTCTTCCTTGCATTGGGCTAAGGTCTGCATCTCTTGGGCTTGACTCTTCATGAGTTTGGATCTTAAATACATTATACACATATAGATGCTCTCCTTTGGACTTGAGGGGAGTGCCCCAATGCTCTCCAAGCTCTTGAACTTCTTGCACAAGACTGAACAAGGCTTGCTTCATAGCTTTGGTTCGGGCTCTTGTCATTGGACCTCCAATATGTTGCAATGGGTCTTTAGGTACGTTGGATTGGAAGTATTGGGCTCCTTCTATGTCACCATGCTCATGATTACCATCCTCAGGCTTCGTTGCCATTAATGTTATGTCACCTGTGCCATGGGGCCCATCAAAATGACATTCTAATCTAAGTATGAAATGACAAATCGAGTTTTCATTTATCCATAGGTTTGAAAATATTAAATAAATTCTGCAAACAGTCAAAAGACATTGGAAATTCAGAATATTATTGAAAAAACGATGTACTCATGTATTGTGTTGGCAATTTAGAAAGATGAGAACTACATCATGTGTAAATCGTTGTTGTTTCTCATGGGCCACACAAGGAAAAAGACAGGAACATGTGTTTACATTTAACAACATAGGCAGCATTGAAACAAAACAAACAAAAACGTATTGACAACATCGGGACATGAAGCCGTCCTATCATATTCTCTAGAATATTATTATTCGAAACCAACGACCCTTGGATCAGTCGCTTGCCAACCTCGCTCAAAGATCAGTGAAAACCTTCCGTTCAAGATTTTTCAAAACTCAAAATTCAGGAGAAATGTGCATTTTGTTCTTTAAATATCTTGTTTGAATTTCAGTTGGATATAACTGATTATAAAAAAAATTAATTAATATGATTGATTTTGATTATAATTAATTACATTGTAACATGGTGATGTTTGGATATTATTTTATGAAATTAATTTTGATAAGATTGAAAATATTTGAATAATTTTAGTCAAAATCAATTTTAAGTATGTAAATTATTTCTTTTTAAAATGTAAATATTAATAAAATTGTATATAATATTATTAAAGTTATTGAACTCTACTCAACAAATAAAATATGTATAATAGTGATTCATTTAATATTTATATAATTATTTAACATATAATTATATACTAATTAATTGGAAATTTAAATTATGTTTTAAGGTAATATTAACAACTTAATTTGTGTAACAATATATATATTTGGTAAGGGAGGAGATGGATGGAGGAGTAGTGAGGCAGGAGCACACAAGAAGCACCAATGAGAATGGAGAAAGAATATGAGGGATGGGCATTTGAGAGGGGTATATTTGGCAAGTCAACATTCTGACAATCAATAAATGCTGGTAATTGTAAATATTAAAATTGATAAGCAAGTGCTGCCAGCTTCAAGTAAAATGTGATTATAACTAAACAATCGATTATAAAGGGGGGTGTTTGGTATTTTTTTTTTACAAACCATAATTTTAGCCAAAATAATTAATTTTCTGGGAAATCCAAACAGGCACTTAATTATTTGATCTTTGAAATTTGTCCTTTAACATTAAGAATTTTTCAAGAAATGAATCGAGTAGAATAAGATTACTGATGAACAAACTCATTGGACAACCGAGAATTACTATATAGTTGGATATTGAAGATAAGAAGTATATGATGAAGAAGTTTGATAATCATGGCGTTATTTGATGGGAAAAAAGTGAGAGGGCATGTGCTTACCAGCAAGTTGAAGCCAGTGACCGAAGCGAAGGAGGTGGCCATGGAAGCAGCAGAGAGAGGGAGGGTACCAAGATGACCAACAAATAAAGCAGAGATGGTTTGCAAACTGTACTGTAAGAGACCAACTGAGAAGAGAGGAAGCGCTAGGCACACTTGTCTCTTACCTTCTTCTATTACTCTATGACTTCTTCGCAGTCTCGTCATCATGTCTTCTTTTTAGGTTTCCGATTTCTTCATTGATTGTGAGTCGCAAGAAGTGAAAAAAGATAACTCATAACGACACAGATAACAGAAGTTTCTGTTGGAGCAGTTCATTCATATCTATATATACAAGTCAGTATACAAATGTGGTTCCCTGCTTGCGACTGCTAAGAATCCCACACCGAGCAGAGTAAGAGGCAGCAAGGCATGGGGCAACTATAATACACGAGCTTGGACTTGTTACAAGGCATACCTTTCTCGGCCTTTTGGCTAAGATCAAGTGTAGTATCTGTTCTTATCAGTTTAATATCTGATACGTGGGCCAATGGCCCACATGATATTAAATTAATTTTTAGAGGGAAGAGTCCATTACAGTAGCTTGCTACTGGGATTCTCGAGCGTCGCCCATGTGTTGCACTACTGCAAGGGCCTGGCGCGCCCCATCAAGCCCAAGTGTTAAAGATTTTGTCTCGTATTTGTTATTATATTCAGAGTGAGTGGATTTCCAGTGATATTCGTTCTTTCGGTGTTTGGGCTTTCAACATTAAATTGCACCGAGGTTTATTTCAGATTTCAATTTCAACTGCTGGGCCAAAGAAGGTGAAAAGGACTTGGGCCGTGTCGAAAGCCGCAGTTTGACTGTTTGAATATTCGGATGTTCTGTATCCGGTAAACAAGTGGAAACAGAGAGAGAGAGAGAAGTTAACACCCAACATTCTCTCTTTTTTTCCTCTTCATTTATATTTATTTTTTATTATGATAAATTACTTACCATTCGAAAGTAATTTTGCTTCCTTATTTTTAGTATTTTTTTCAATTTAAAATGGTTATCATTCTAAAATTTTGCTTCTATTTAAAAATTAATTAATTGGTTAGGATTTTAATAAAATATTGATTAACGTTCTTTTAGAATTTCGCCTAATTAATTTATGGCGTAATGAAACGTGAGAATATATTATATCATAAGCCTCTATCAGCTAATACTTCTTCCACGCCTTCAATTCTTTTCAACCATTTCTAATTTTCTTTTCCTCAATTCTTTTTTCGTTTGTCTTACGAATTTCAGAATCTCAAATTTAAATGATAATTTTTTTTAAAAAATATAATGAATATTTTAATATATTTTCATGATGACATGCAAAAATTATAACTAGACTTTAATGAAGGGAATCAACTAAACATCTGAATTTTTATAATTATTAAAAACCTTGATACAATATGAGGTAAAATCAAATTCAATGTACTCGATGTTGACCCAACAAGATTATAGAGTAGATATTAGATTTATGGTGCATGTTCTTAAGATGGTAATATTTGATCACTTGGTGCAGTGCCCGTGAGGGATATAGTTGAACACTCTACTCTACTCCGAGCTTCCTTTGCCTGTCATTCATGGTGAAAAAATAAGCTAAATCTTACACACACACACAGATTACAGATTATAGAATATAAACAGTGAAACTCTTTGCCTTACTTCTTTCTCCCAATCAGCGCGAACTGTAATCACAATGAAAAATACCACCTGCAGTGTTAAAGCAACCACGATCCCCAACCACAGCCCCTGTTTCAGCCACCACAAATGAATGCATTTGTTTGCATTTTCCAACAGAACAACAAACAAATGATAGTATTTGTGTGTAAAGCTAGTTTGACCTTGGCATTCATGCGCACAACGAAAGCTAATATAACCGCACAAGGTACGCCGGCAACATAAAAGGATGCCAGGTTCACATACGCTCCAATCTTCTGCCATCCACACCCCCTCACAATTCCTGACCAAGCACCAACCAAATCATATATATTCTCACTCAAATTCACATCAACTTTCACTAGTTTAAAGATGTGAGATTGACCTGAAAGAGCACTTTGGACCCCATCAAGGAAGCTAGAAATGGCCAAAACTGGCATCATGGAGGCCACACGTCTCACTACTTCTTTGTCATCGCTGTAAACTCGTCCCAACAGATTCCGAAGCAGAATCATCAGTACAAGTAATAACGTACCCTCGCTTAAGGCTATGCCTAACACCACCAGAACTGCTAAATTTGCAGCTTCTGCATTCCCAGCCCCTAGTTCATTTGACGCTCGTGTGCTGTCATACACAAGGTTTCAAATTTTCAGCTCACAGAATTGGTCTTTATATCTAGACTCTAAACTAGGGTTGAATAATTTGTTACTGGAGATAATCATCACCTTACTGCAGCACTGAATCCAAAGGGGATCATCCAAGCTACACCAAACAAATTGAGGCTGCAATGGTAAATCAGAAACTTCTCATGCACGTATATCATGGTTAGTGGAAAAGAGACGGTGAAAATAAAGTTTGGTAATTCACTGACCATATTGAAAGCACAGAAGTCTGTAGGGTTGGATTAGGAAGAAGGCCTGACAAGAGGACCATCAGCTCAAACGTCCACATTTTCAAGCTGTGCTAAGTTCATAAACACAGATCAACACCAACAGATGGTTATACTCAATTACAATCCCAAGTCTTAAAATCTTAAATGATGACTTGAAACAAATACCAGAGCATAATAGCAGAAGGAGCGGCAAGTTTAAGGAAGTCAAGGACATTGTTGAGAGCCTTCTTTGAGAAACCAGTCCATGAAAGTTTGCAGGAAGAAGAGAACCTCACATACAGTGCCATTAACACCACATTTACCCAATAAGACAGAGAAATCGCTATGGCTGCTCCTTTACTCCCAAGCCCAGATTTGAACACCAAAACCCAACAAAAGATGATGTGAAACAGAGCTGCAATTGCAGAAGTTAGCAGCATGGGGAGGACAATGTTCTGGGTTTGCAAGAATTTCATAATGCACTGAAGAGGACCAAATGCGAAGAGGCTTGGGATCATGCAATAGGCATATGATCCTGCTTCTTTTGATATGAGTTTGTCTTGCTTCATAGCCACAAGAATTGGTTCTGTGTTTGCCCAGATTATTGCAAGCAGTACACTGCTCAGTGAAAGGACAAACACGGACCTCTGCAAGTGTATTCCGAGCATATGGAACTGTCCCGCTCCATATGATTGACCGCAAAAGGTGTCCAGAGCACTTGCTAATCCCATCTGTTCAATTAGTCACAAATTGAGTCAACAAGTAACGAAAGTGATTTGAAACAAAGAATTGATTAGAAAAGTATCGTCACACATAATACTCATTTCTTTGGGCAATCCACATTGGCCTAATTTTATCTATATGGCGATGAAGTTTGATAAGCATGACGTACCAGCAAGGAGAAGCCTGTGACAGAAGCGAAGGAAGTGGCCATGGAAGCAGCAGAGAGAGGGAAGGTACCAAGTTGACCGACAAAAATGACAGAGATGGTTTGCAAACTGTACTGTAAGAGACCCACCGAGAAGAGAGGAAGTGCTAGGCATGCTTGTCTCTTACCCTCGTCTAACACTTTTTGACTCCTTCGCAGTCCCATCATCATGTCTTCTTTTTTGCTTTCCAATTCCTTCATTGTCAGTCACTTGCTTCCTCTTGTTGGTTAGCGTCTCAAACAAGAAGTGAAAACGATAATGGAAGCAATTTCGGATGCACTTGTCACGATGAACCCACCGGATTTAGCTGCGGAGCCAAGTGTTTGCAGTATTTGGCTTACAACAAACTATAAGATCTTGTTAAAATTTGACTTCTAACATGTTTTGTTGAATTTAAAAAAAAAAAGTCTTAAAATTCATTACTCTTCATGTTTAATGTTATAGGACATTTTTAATTGAATTACACCCCTATTAATTTAGTTAATCATCTATAAACTTACACATTCTTTCATATCCTTATTTAATATGGTGGTTTAATTAAAAATTTTATTAATTACACTTTTTAATTAAGATTATTTTTGGAAAAACCTCATTAATTACACCTTGAAAAATTCAAAATTTCTTATACTGTTTAACATTTTATTTTAAAAATTTTTCTTATATTTTTATATGTGTTGAGTATATACTTTACTAACATATTTTTTTCATCAACATTTGATGCTGGAAGAAGAAGAAATTTATGATAAAAAAATAGAAATATAACTTATAAATAAAACAAAAAAATATCCTCTCCCTGTACAGAAGGATATAAATAAAATTTTAGAAGCCATTATTACTTGAGTCTAACAATACACAAATGTTATAACATATTAAAACCGAATATCGGATAATTATATTAAATGAAAAAGTAGCCTCGATTGAATTACAGAGGGTGACTTAAGCAACATGGACTTAAAATATTTCATGTAAAATTTCCTTTCATTTTATGCAAAAAATATGTAGATTCAATTAATATCTTTAACAAATCATTTTCTTGAAAAAAAAAAAGTTACACCCTTGTAATGACTTCACAATTCATTAGTAAGCAACAGCTAGGCATGATATAGATATATATAAGGTCACAGGCCAACAGTAATTAAATGCTCGAGGGCCATGGCCGATCAAGGGGGGCTAGTGATCATATCCGATCAAGGGGAGCAAGTGATAATATTTTTTCCCGCCTTTAGTTTAATAATTAATTAATTTAAAGTTGTTATATAACTATATACTGCTTTCAACTCTTCACCCTCTCAAATCTCAACCTTATTATCACTATATATATATATATATATATATAACCTAACACCTCCCCAGCATTTCTAGCTAGAAGATGAGCACAGAAATTAGTTTTCCTAAACATAGAGTTAATCGATATAATCCAAGATCTGTTCAACATCAACCTAACATATCTGATGAGAGAAGATCCTCTTTAGATCCTACTTAACTGTGTACCTTTTGTGTATTTGTAACCTCTTCTAATTCAATATATATATATATATATATATATTGTGTGTGTGTGAAAGTAGGATAATAGGCTACACAATCATGTCACATGTTCTTTTTTTAATGTTGTAATTTTGTGTTTTGAATTTTTTTTGTAATTCTTTGTTTTGGATTTAGTTTTGGAATTAGATTTAGGATAATTTATTATTTATATATATAAAATGCAATATTTAGGTTTCAAGTTAAGTTTGGGATGATATATATATATATATATATATCAATAATGTCTTCAGTTTTGGATTTCAAAAAATAAAACCAAACAAGTCTTTTTCTAAACATTAAAAAAAAACAATAATATCTAAACATTAGTAGCAGCATCATGATGAAATATTTGATTGTGCTTCACTATGAGTTAACTTTTCAGTGATAAAAATATCAAGATTTTCTTTTTTATTTAGATTCCCAACATTTTTACTCTTTTTTCATATTCAAATCCTTTCCTCCTTATTTATTAAATATTAGTGAATTTTATATATATATATATATATATCTATATCGCTTTAAACCAATCAACTCTCCATTTAAGCAAGTTAGAGATAGCTTGTTTAAGCCCAATTACCTATTAACATGCCTAAATATCAAGCCCAACTTTCCATTTAAATGGGTTTAAATGGTCTCAATTTATTTTCCCAACTCTAAATATGTGGATATTGAGATCTCAATTGATTTGTTATTGAATGCTTCAAATTACTCAATAAAATTCATTGTTGATTCAATATTTCCAAATTTATATAACAATGTTTATAATTCTTTATATTTTAGGTAAAGCTATATTAGCTCTTACATATGTTGACTATGATTGAAGAAGTAAATGGACATATGTTATTAGATTGTGCCTGCCTTGTCATGTTTTCACCTACAACCAACTATATATTGTTGTTTCTTATGTTTGAAGCCAAAAATGTTTAAAAATATTGATTCTTGATAAGGATATATAGTCACTTTTCACTGTTAAAATTTTAAATGTTGTTTATAGGGAAGTATTTGATAATTTAATTTGAAAAATTATAAATTTTTTTTAATTAACTTCACTTTTGGAATTTGAAATTAAGGTCAGTGGCTAAAACAGCTAAGCCCAAAAGGTCTAAAAATACATTAAGGTTAGTGTTTTTCAAAGCTTGACCTTAGCATCCTTAAGGCTAAAGGGCTTGGCCTATGTGCTTAGGCACTAATGTATTTTTTTTAATTTAAATATCAAATACACACATTTATGATCCAAAAAAACTGTCATGGATCTTATGAAGCTTCCTCCTTATACTATAAAAAAACTATTATAGATAACATTAAGTCTAGAAAAATAGATTGAATTAAATCCACGACAAATATGTAACACAGTATTAAACATCACCCAAGTATCATCAACAAAGATATTAAGCTTAGGCACCTAAACATCAAAGATATTAAGCCTAAACATCTAAGTATCATATCAATATCAATAAAGACTTGACATTGGTAGCATCATCAGCAACATCATCATCATCATCATGATTTTTTCTTACTTAACATTCAAAAAATAATAATACAATTTGAAAGGGCTAACCCTTTTATTTTTAGATCAATTAAGGTTGGCTCTTTTATGTTTGAAATTCAATTCTAACATCTAAATCAATGGCCCAATCCTAACTAATTTTGACTTTAAAGCCCGTTTTTCCAACTCTATTCACATTGTGTCTATTTATAACCTATATTTTTATCATTTTGTTATATTTTACTTTTGTATAATTGACATTATTAATGATATCTAAACATCTCTACTACATATAAGTAGAGTCGACGGGCTTGGCTCTTTTAAGCCTGAAAAAATTTAGGTTTGAGCTGCTACTTTAAAGTGTAAAATAATAATTTGGATCCTTTTAAGTCCTAAAATGAAAGAGCCAGCTATTTAAGGTTAAGGTCAGCCATTTTAAATCCTTTTATATTTTTTTAAATTTTAATATTAAAAAATTAAATACTACTCTAATTTTAAAACCTTGGTCTCATTTCAGAGGGATGAAGAAGGAATATATGAAAAGTTTAATATTTTTACCACTATTGGGGCTCCACAAAGAGAAGAATAAAATTATATTGATATTGATGATAATAAAAATCATCAAAATTTTGCTAATAAAGGTAGCAAAGTTTGATTGTTATTGATGTTAATTTTGTATTATTGTTTGTTATTAGATTTAAATTTATTTTTATAGATTTAATGTTATGTATAATAACTTTTTGAAATTTTAAATATGTTTTTAAAATTTTTAAATTAAAAAATAAAAAAACTATAGGGCCAAGGCCTTAAGGACTAAGGACAGGTTAACCAAATAGAGTAATAAGATATAATTGAGCTTTATAAGGCCAGTCCATTTAGGCTATGGCCCTTTAAGGGCTAACTTTAATTGATACTTCTATATATAAGATAATAAAAAGAATATATCCATGAAATATTTTGTGGTAAAAATTGATATAGATGATAATATCACTTATTTTAAAATAGCTGTTATATTTGATTCACGGTACTAGTTTTCTACAATGCATGAGATGTATGATTTAGACGTTGCCATTGAAACGTTTTCTTTGTTTCACTCGGCTTCAACTTTCAATCTATCTTGATCTTAGAGATGCCCTTCCGGGGATTTTGATGTTTAAGCCTTTTTGCTGGTCTTCTCTCTTTGATGTGCCAAGAAAATAGTGGTCCTGAAAACCTTTATACACTAAATTGAATGTTAGTGATTCCTACCACCAGAACTTTAGTGTGTGAAAGAAAGGACAACATCATTAACAATCAATCCTGAAAAACAGAGCAAAGAGATCCACATGCTCCTTGACGTTTCATAATTCTTGCCATTCCATAATATGAGAAGATATAAATTCATCAAATAATTTTGATGTAGAAGTGTGATATTTGATATTCAATTTTATAATAATGTAAGTTTAAGACTTTGGCAAAAGATTAATAGAAATCTGATTGCGAAGGGAGCTAGCTACATGTGCTTCAATGCTTGTGACTGCTAAGAGTCCCACAATGGGCAGAGTAAGAGATAGAATGCACAGAGCAACTATAAAAGCCTAATGTTATGAATATTACAAGGATAGTGGATGTTCATTTTCATTACCCCTTCATCTTCATCTTCTCTCATGAAACTCTCACCATCATGAGAGTTGATTGCCTTCCTATGAAACTCCCACTATCATAAGAATTGATTGCCCTTTATTTTCTTTTGTCATTTGTGTAACTTTTGATGTGTAAGACTATGCCTATAAATAGGATATGTAATTTGTATTAAAGGATATAATAATTCATAAGAAATTCTCTCATTCTCTTGTCTCTATTTCTTCTCTCAATATCTTCATTTTGTAATTGTTAATTTCATAACACGTTATCAGCATGAAAACTCTAGTAATTTATAGGTTTTGTAGCAAGGTTTCTCATTGCAAGGTAATTTTTATGTTCATATATGATTTGATCTATTGTCTAACCATTTGATCCTTTTAATCTTGTTTAATCTTGAATATCATCTAATTCTTATCATATTTTTATTATAGTATTTATATGTCAAATCTTTCGAAACTTGAGTTTGTGGCTCTTGACATTACTAGAAAAAATTATCTATCTTGGATACTAGATTTGGAAATCTATCTATTTGTCAATGGCCTTAGAGACACAATCAAGAATGATAATCAAGCATCCAATCAAATTAAGGCCAAGACCATTATCTTTCTTCGTCACCATTTATATGAAGGGTTGAAAACTAAGTATTTAATTATAAAAGACCCTCTTGTTCTTTGGAACAGTTTAAAAGAAAAGTATGACAATCAAAAAATTGTAATTCTTACAAAAGCTCATTATAATTGGATGCATTTATATTTGCAAGATTTTAAATCTGAGTGAATATAACTTTGTAATTTTTAAAATCAGTTTTCAACTAAAATTATGTGAAGAAGAAGTCACTGATGATGATATGTTTGAAAAAACATTCTCCACATTTCATGTATCCAATGTACTCTTGCAGTAGCAATATAATGAAAAAGGTTTTAAAAAATATTCTGAATTGATTTCTTATCTTTTTGTGGCTGAATAAAATAACGAGCTTTTAATGAAAAATCTTGAATCTCATCTAACTAGTTCTACCCCATTCCTTGAAGTGAATGCAGTGCCAAATGAATCAGCTCAGGGTTATGGTCGTGGTCATGGCCATAGCAATGGATGAGGTTGTGGCGTGGCTGTAGCCATGGTCGTGGTCGTGGTAGTACATCTTTCCACCAGAAGTGGACAAATAATGAAGAGAAACACAATAAAGGAATAAGTGGGGATAATAATAATAATAATAATAATAATAATAATAATATAATACTAAAAATTTATGCTACCGTCGTGGTGGTAAAGTTCATTGGTCACATACCTTTCGTACTCTAAAACATTCGATTGATCTTTACCAAGAATCACTTGAAAGTAAAAGTAAAAACAAAGGCAAAGATAAAAGCACATTTTGCTTCTGAAGAAGGTGATTCTGATTATGGTGACATGGATGTTACTTATTTAGATGTTTTTGATTTTTTTGCCGATCCTAATGGAAGAATTGATCACCTGATTGGAGATGGAAATGTTCAGAAATAAATTTCTTAGATATTAATGTTGTTAAATTTTATAGTTAAATGTCATTTTAATTTTCTTGCATTGGAATAAAGAATTTACTAATTTTTTTTAGAGAATTTACTTATGATGTTGTTGTTTTTCAATGAATAAAGTTTTTGTATTCCATGTTTTAATTATATATTTTTATGTTTTTTTAATGAAGAATGAGTATTCATCTGATTGATACCAATGACAATAATGGAGATATATGTCTCGTTGATAGTGCAACAACTCATACAATACTCAAAAATAAAAAATATTTTTCTTCTTTGGTAATGCAAGAAGCTAATGTTCAAACTATATCCGAAAGTATAAACATGATTGATGGCTCTGGAAGAGCTAATATATTATTGCTTGGAAGAACTAAATTACACATTGATGGTGCATTTGATTATACTAAGTCTAGTAGAAATTTATTGAGTTTTAAGGATATCCACAAAAATGGATACCATATTGAGACAGCAAATAAAGAAAATAAAGAATATTTTATTATTACGAATTTAATTTCTGGTAAAAAGTTCACACTAGAAAAATTATCGATATTTTCCTTTGGCTTGTATTACACATTTATTAATACAATTGAAATACATGCTATTGCAAACCAAAAGTTTACAAATAAATCCAATGTTTGGCATGACCGTTAGGCCATCTCGGGTCAATTATGATGCGAAGGATAATCGAAAAATCATGGGGACATTCATTGAAAGGTCAATAGATTCCACAATCCTATGATTTTTCTTGCGCTACATGTTTTAAAGGAAAGTTAATTATTCGACCATCACTAACAAAAATAAAAAGTGAGTCTCTTACATTTCTAGAACGCATACAAGGTGATATTTGTGAGCCTATATTCCCATCATGCGGACCATTCAAGTACTTTATGATTTTAATTGATGCATCAACAAAATGGTTGCATGTTTGGTTGTTATCTTCTTGTAACTTGGCATTTGTGGGATTGTTTGTTCAACTTATTAGATTAAAAGCACACTTTTCTAATTATCCTATTAAGAAAATATGTTTAGATAATGCTAGTGAATTTACTTCACAAGTTTTTAATGAATATTGCATGTCTCTTGGAATGATATTGAACATCCTGTAGCACATATTCATACACAAAATGGACTTGCAGAATCATTGATTAAATGCTTACAATTAATTGCATGACCATTACTTATGCGGTCGAATCTCGCAATTTCTACTTGGGGGCATGCAATTTTACATGCAGCATCATTAATTCATATAAGGCCAACAAATTATCTTAAGAGCTCTCCTTTAAAATTGGTTTTTAGTTAGGAACCTACTATTTCCCATCTAAGAATTTTTAGATGTGCAATATATGTTCCAATTGTTCCACCATAACGTACTAAGATGGGTCCTCAAAGAAGGATAGGAATATATGTTGGATATGAATCTCCATCTATAATTAAATATTTAGAACCATCAACAGGAGATTTATTTACTGTTTGATTTACTGATTATCATTTTGATGAATCAGTTTTCCTAACATTAAGGGGAGAAAATAAGTAGCTAGAAAAGGAAATTAGTTAGAATGAATTATTATTATCTCATCTTGATCCTCGTATAAAGTAATATGAACTAGAAGTTTAAAAGATAATTCATTCACAAAATTTAGCGAATCAATTGCCAGATGCATTTATTGACCCAAAAAAAGTAACTAAATCACATATTCCAGCTGCTAATGCTCCAATTAGAATTAATGTCATGGTTAGACAACTTGTTATTGCAAATGATTCTAAACCACGCATAAAATGTGGAAGGCCCATTAGTTCTAAAGATTAAAATGTGTGAAAATAATGAGATCTCAATAAATTATATTATGAATGGAATACAATGGGATCAGAATGAAGTCAACATTGATGATATTTTTGCATATAATGTAATGCTTGATGTAATAAATGATAATGAAGATCATGAATCAAAGTGCATAAAGGAATGCAAACAAAGAGAGAATTGGCCAAAATGAAAAGATTCAATTGAGGCGGAATTAAAATCACTTAAAAAGCAAAATATTTTTGGACTCGTAGTCCACACGCCCAAAGGTGTCAAGCCGGTGGGATATAAATAGGTTTTTATGTGAAAAGAAATAAAAATGGTGAAATTGTAAGATATAAGACACGGCTTGTGGCTCAATGATTTACACAAAGGCCTAGAATTGACTTTATTGAAACATACCCACCAGTGGTGGATGCAACTACTTTTTGATATTTAATTAGCCTGGCAATAAGTAAAGGACTCGATTTGCGTCTAATGGATGTTGTTACAGCTTATTTGTATGGTTTACTTGATAGTGATATTTACATGAAACTCCCTGAAGGATTCAAATTGCCAGAAGCATACAATTCAAGTTCGTAAGAAAATTATTTAATCAAGTTAAATAAATCCTTATATGGATTAAAACAATCAAGATGTATGTGGTATAATTGACTTAGTGAATATCTGTTGAAAGAAGGTTATAAAAATGATTCAATTTGTCCTTCTATTTTTATGAAAAGATCTGGAAAAGAGTTTGCTATACTTGTTGTTTATGTTGATGACATAAATATTATTGGAATACCTAAAGAGCTTTTAAAAACTATAAATTACTTAAAGAAAGAATTTGAAATGAAAGATTTGAGAAGAACAAAATTTTACCTTGGATTGCAAATGAAATATATGAATAATGAAATTTTTTTATGTCAAGAAACTTATACAAGAAAGGTCTTAAAATGATTTTATATGGATAGATCACATCCATTATATACCTCAATGGTTGTAAGATCATTGAAGGTAGAGAAAGATCCTTTTAGACCTCAAAAAGGTGATGAAAAACTACTTAGTCTAGAAGTACCATATCTTAGTGCAATTGAAGCACTAATGTATCTTGCTAGTCACACGCAACCTGATATCTCATTTGCTGTTAACTTATTAGCAAGATACAGTTCTTCACCAATACGAAGGCCTTGGAATGGTGTTAAACACATTTTTATTATCTTAGGGGTGCTATGAATATAGGATTATGTTATTCCAAAGTACCTAAAGCTAACCTTATTAGTTATGCGGATGCTGAATTTTTGTCTGATCCTCATATTGATATATCATAGACAGGTTATTTGTTCATATATGGTGGTACAACCATTTCATGGCGATCTATGAAACAGACAATATCAGCCACATCATCTAATAATGTAGAAATTCTAGTTGTACATGAAACAAGTTGAGAATGTGTGTGGTTAAAATCATTAATCCATCACATAAGAGCTACTTGTAGTCTGTCTTCTAATAAAATGATCCCAATGATCATATATGAAGATAATACTGCTTGTATTGCCCAATTGAAAGAATGATATATTAAAGGAGATAGAACAAACATATTTCACTAATTTTTTTTTCACTCACGATCTTCAAAAGAATGGTGAAATTAATATCCAATAAATTCGTTCTAAAGAAAATCTAGCTGATATGTTCACCAAGTCACTTCCTGGTAAAATATTTGGAAAACTTGTT